GTCAGAATTTGGCAACAATCCAGGACTTCCAATGAGAGAAGTTGTATGTCATGTATTCAGTCTTCAAAGAGATAAATACAGGCTTTATTTCAACTCAGATAAGTTCAGAGAAACCTGAGAGAAACCCAGAGAAAACTGCAGTGCTCATGGCTATGAGTTCTCACAGGCTGCAATGAGCCTGCAATGAGTAGCTGACCATTAAGAAATGAAGCTGGTGTAAGTAAGTGATCAGAATGGCAAAGCTGCTGCTGGTTGGCAAGCACTGCTGAAAGTCTGGAAACATCACTGATGCCATCTTCTTTCCTGCTCAAAATACATGGCTGATAGGAACAGTGATATTAACAAAACTCAATAAAAGAGAGGGGAGAAAAGCTTTACTTCAAATGTAAAATTCCTCAGATGTGTAAAGTGCTTTTTAATCCACTTACTCCAGATTGACCTGACTGCTTGGAAGCAGTGTTTGTTACTTCTGGCTTCTAGATCTGAGCAGAAAGAGAAGTACTGTGAGTGCTGCAAATGATACATTGCTTCATCTTAGGCAGTTTAGTCATTGAGATGCAATGTGTTTTAATACAATTCTGCCTAGCAACATGTTGAGAACTTACTGTCCACATGAGAGTCTGGCAACATAATGAGGAAGAAATCGTCATCTTTTAGCTATACCTATGTTTGGGAATGTTAGCATAAGTTGGTTTGCTTTGACTCGTTTACTAAAAATAACATTGTTTCCCAGAGAAAAGTTCAGCTTCTGGATTAGTCAAAGGCATAAAAATGCGCTGGTAGTATCAAGAGCAATTACAAGCAAAGTTCAACAAAAATTCATTATCATTTTGTATTTCTATGCGAGAATATTATGCAGGACAGGTATTGTAACTAGAGTTCAGACAAATCCATTTGATTTTTTTCACAAAATGAAGAGATTATGATACCTCAAATAGTGTCAAGTCTCAGTAACAGCTATGTGAGCCATAAAACTGAATGGATTATTTTAGCATAAATAATTTGTTACATTAAAGACGTCTGCAAACATAGCACAGTTAGATTTTACATGTGCTTGCAAGAGAAACCAGGCACCTTAGCTGACCTTTTCCTTTTCCTCTACTAATATGGTGAAACATTTCCAATATAAATTAGTTTATCTTTACAATAACTCAGCACAGTTCTTACTGATGAAAGCCATGTAATAATATGGCTTCAATAAAGAGCATTCAGGGAACTATAGCTTTAGTGTTTGGGAGACAGATTTTATGCCCTTTGTACCTTGCCATTCAGTTGTTCATCATCTACTGTCTGCAACATGCACTAGTGGAGAAAGGGGAGATGACATGGCTTGGACCAAAAAACCATACAGGCTGTCTCCTGGTCCACCTTTCACTGCCCACTGTGGCCAGCTCACATCCAGTCCAAGTCTTGACTTCCTGGCCATTTATGTGACATTGGCTCCAGATACTTTCTTGACCCCACTTCATCATGTCTCACAAAGAGGAACAACATATGGGTAACAAAATAATACAGACTTCTTATGATTACTAAACACCAGACATGCTTTCTTGACCTACAATGATGTCAAGTTTTTGTAGCCTGTTTTGTTTATAGACCTTCTATTTTCCTCACATTTGTTCAGTCTCTGTTACAGCCTTACCTACTCTCTCAATATCTTGTATTACTCATCTCTATTTCCATTCAGTTTAATAACTTGTCCTTCACATTCTCCCTCCACAATTTATTTTTCATATTATTACATATATTCTTGGAGTTTGTTTCTGTCTGTGTAAACAAGGGCAAAGGAGAAAGGCTATACAATGGAAAACGCTACTTCTAAAATGAATGCTGCTTTATTTCAAGCTTCCATGGGATTAGAGACAAATACCCATCCCAATACACTCAAATGACAAAGGATAAATGAACAGTCATCCTTGTCCCTGCTGCTCATACCTCCCACTGGCATCTACTCTATATCCTATATGGCTGAAAGAACTGAGAAAGCCAGCATATTCTATTTACTCTTATGCAAACTTACCATCATTATTTTAATTTACATCATAAAACCCAAAAGTGTTCTAGCTGCTTTATGGAACAAATAATAATGTAAAATCACTGTTCGAAAGCACACAACTGCATTTCAGAACCCTTGTAATCAAAACAATTAGCAGCAGTGAAGGGATCATGAATGATGGAAAACAGTTAAATAACAGTAACTCCTACTTCATGCATCTTTTGACAGTTCCCCTAAATCCAACCTTTACAATGGCTTGTGCCATACAACCTTTGCTGCTGTTTTCAGGTACATAAGCATGTAATGGTCTTAAAGGGACCATCTCTACGAATGGCAAAATTAATGATAACACTAAGAATTAGTTCTTACTCAGAAGTTTTTATCAACAGATCTCAGCGCTCTACACGGAATGTCATTGTAAGAATAAGGCATACGTACTTCAGAATAACGTGATTTGACTATTTGCATTTTGTGAAATGACACCATTTTCTTCAGAAGGATGTTCCATTGCTTAATAGCTCTTCTAATTACAAAGCATCTTACTACTTAATCAAAATTTTCTTTGCTGAAATTTCAACTAATTATTTCTCATCTTGTCACTTTTGGCTCATGAGAATAATTCTGTTCTATTCTTCTACACATTGCTAGCAATAAAGCTATAATATTTCTAAGCTGTGGAAAACACCCGTAGCACCTTTAATTGCAGACCTACACAAATTATCACAACAGTTTATTACTGAATTCTCCACAACTCAATTGCACTTCCCATTGAGGGATCTCTGAGTGCCTTAAAAATGTTAGCATGTTTAATATAAATAACCTGACATGCCATGGATTACTGTCAGCCTCATCCTGTGAAGGAAGATGGCTGCCATGTCTGCTGATAGTCCCCTTTCCTTACCACAAGACCTTCCTACTTATGTGTGCAGCATTACAGCTTACTAAACAGAGAATTTTAAAGAAACAAGCAGCATATTTTATTTCTTTGAAACATAAAGCCAAGATAAAACACATTTATTTCCATGGCCTTAGATATGCTCATATAAGAGGTCAGCTGCAAAGAAAGGTGAAAAAGGGGGAGCCTAAACAGACCAAATATCCTTTCCTATGCTCCCATAAGAGCTCAATGATTCCTTCTTTCCTTTCTCATATTTATTTTAGAACAGACAAGACTGAAAGGTGGCCCTATATGAAGTGCTCCAGGAGTTTTTAGACACTCAGATAGTCATCTATCTTTCAGGCAGAATCAGGCCTTGAGGAGTATGATTTAGCAAATCCCATTAGACTGAAAATGAAGGAACTCTCTGAGAATGTAGTCAGGTCTAAAATGACTAAATCCATCCTCTCTTTTCTCTCTAAAAAATAAAGAGACCAATCTACAGCATCCTTGAAGCAATAGCACATACTAAAAAGGAGCTGAAGTTGGGATTTCTATCATCTGTCATTCTATCAGTCTTTTTTCCATGTAGTTTTCTATAGAAAAACAAGAGCTAACCAGGCTGGCAGAGGGGAATATCTCAAGTTAAATGAGGAAATACTATAAAAGCATATTGAAATGGTGCAAAGGGAGGGTTCAAACATATATGAAACATAGCGTCCATCTTTCTCTCCTTCTACAGCATGATATTGCCTGAGCTTTTTCTATTACCTCCTGGACTCCACTTCTTACTGGTATTACTAATGGACCCAATGATGGGTGCTCAAGTGTTGCTTAACTGGTTTTCCTTTGTAGAAGGAGAATCTGACCCTAGGATAACTTGAGGCACTTCATTTAAGTCCTGTCAGTTCTTCCAGTTTGTCATCCCCCAGTCTTTCATCAAACACAACATCAGCACAAAATTATAGCATCAAGAAATGCACTTAAGTAACACTATCACACAATACACTGGACAAAAAAATGAGGCAAGGAAATTACCATTAAACCTAAATTTCTGCTGTTTCATTTATAAAATAGTCAATCTTCTCTTTTGTTAATTATAAGGAGATATAGCTTGCAGTCATTGGCTATTTTCTGTAATAACTATTTTGTCCATTTCCTTTAATTTCCTCAATTCAGCCTTCTAAATTTTGCCTAGAATAATACCTTATAAAAGCACACGAATGAAATGCCTCATTAGCTGCTCTCTTTTGTTACTTCTGTCTTGGCAATGCCACTTAGAATTCAAAGTACAGAAATGGTAGTACACCAGCAATTGTGAAGGACTTTGAAACGCTCTGTATGACGGGTGCTCTAAAAATTCAGCACTGAAACTGCAACCTTTACTTGTGACCATAACTGTTATGTTAACAACGCTTGATCAGAAAATGACATAAGCTGTTTGTTTTTCCACTGAATTTAAGTATTTTTAGATTAGTTTAAAATACATGCATGAAAACAACATGCGAATAGAACTCGGGAATAGTTTTAGCTGACTAAACCTTAGAACTGTAGTTTAGAATAACCAAAATTATCTAAATTTCTAAAAAAAGAGCATAATTTCTGGTTTACAAAAACTTGCAAAACATGGGCAGTTTTAACCCTTATTTTATTCCAGTCTTTTCAATGCACTGTAATAAACTTGAGATTAAAAGCATTATAAAGATATGCAATGATTTAAGTATGTTTCTCATAATGTAGATTAAATTGAACAAACAGATATGGAAATATAATGTCTTCCTCCTTTATAAATCACTAAGATACAAAAAATACTAATTTTTAGATTTGATATTATTTTCTTCTTCATCTTGAGAGGATTTTCATTACTGAGACAAGAGGCTTAGATTATTGGTTATATTATCACATTGTCTTTTTACACAATATTCTGTCTTTAGACAGAAGGTAATGTAACATAAACCAAAAGAATAACCTTTTGTCAACCTATAATTATGTACTTGCAAAGATTTAAAGAGCACTGCTTAGTTAGAAATAACCTCTAGTCTTTCTTGGAATCTTACTGATGATTTCAAGAAGCTTAACTGTTGTACAGATACGTAAGTTATTTTAAGAATAAAAACAATCTCTTACTTGGTCTTCAAAGGAGATTGCCTGGGCAACATCTCTGGGAAATCCATCGATTACTATACCCTCTTCATCAGGGATCTGCATTAATCTCTGCTTTATCTCAGTTATGGTTGTTTCCTTTCACAGAGAGAAGAAGTTATTTATTTAATATTGTAAAGGAGGTTTTCTTGATGGTACATATTAATACAGCATGCACAAACTCTTCAAAAGTAAACATTAACATGGGATATGCTGTACCTGAGGGGCCAGTTCTCCAGTAGTAATTATTTTGGCAATTAGACTCCATTTTCTATTGCTGCTTGTGCTGTGGATCTTCTTCCTTAACAATTCACCAACTGATATGTAGTTAAATCCATAACGTTCTGCTATTTTCAAACTCTGTGTTCCTTTACCACTTCCTGGGCCACCTATTGGTAATTATAAGCAAAACATTAAATTAATCTTTCATCTGAAGTACCTAATAACATATGAAATCCTTCCTATTGTCACCAATTTTCCAACCATTATTAGAGCAAATCTTGCAGTTGATGACTTGTTACCAGCCATTTGGAAATGGGTCTCATCTACCTGATCATAAAGGTAAAAGTTTGTAAAATGAAGTAAAAAAAAAAAAAAAAAAAGAATACAAATCTACTTGCGAATTAAAAATAAACATGTTCTTTTAGGCTTGGTCTCATTCTAAAGTTGTTCCTGGAAAGGAATTTTTCTTTATTTGTAGTAGAGGAGGAGACAAATTAACTGCTCCCTTCTTGAACTCTGTGAATCCAAAGATAGAGCCAGATCAGTATGAAGCATACTCATGTCAGAAAGAATTATACTTGTTTAAATAAGCCAATGAAATCAATGGACTAGTCATGAAACGGAACTAATAAAATCTGCTTCTAAATATGCTTGCATGAGTTTCTGAGGTTTTCTAATTTTAAAATACAGAAAAATATTAAATAATCAGCTGACATGTTTCCATAGTGATTTGGTACAAGGACTTTTATTGAACCATGCATACTTCTGGTATTGATGCTTGAAACATCTGATAGAGAAGCAATTTGTTAGGTTCAGCTTGCTGGACAACTTGAAGAATAAAGAGACCCTTCAGTATGGTGCAGGCAGAATAGGTATCAAAATCACAGAAAGCAGCTATATTACATAGCAGGGAATACTGAAATGGAGGACTGCTGGACAGCAGAAGCAAGAATGCATGTAAAAAAAAAAAATCAGAATATGTCTGAACTAAAAGGACACATTATGATGTGAAGAACAGAGAAACTGGAATCCAGTATGTAAAAACAGGGAATTGTTTTGATAAAAATAAATGTTTATATGTAGAAAAGTGCATGTTACTGAATAGCATAACAAAGCAAAACCAAAACAGATGTTTTGGTATTAATTTCCAAAAGCAAGTAGCTATATTTTGAGGAATGTGCGTGAGAACATTGAATTTTATTTCAACAGATAAAGAATTAAGATTTCTTATAATGTACATTTTCTACGAACTTTAAAAAATACATCAATGCAATGAAAGCAAATATGAATACAATGAGCTTCTTGTTAGTAATCATATAACCCTTTCTTATATTATCTGTATTATTCCCATAAATAGCTTTTAGGCATTTATAGAACACATACAGATTTGACTGCAGGATAAGCTTCATAAGTATTGCTTCATATATGGTTATGACACTCTCTGTGTAACCAGGTTCAAACCTGTGCCCCAATATTACATATCAGAGAGCTTTCAGTGCCCCCAGTAGTCACTAGGAACTTTTCTGTACCGCTGATGCTGTGATGGGAACTCTCCACCTGGCCTTTGCAAGTCAGATGGGGGACCCCTTTGAAGAGAATGCACAGGAAAACTTGTGTATTGTTAAGGTGTTCCCTTACCCTGCCCACAGTTTAGTTATACCCTTAGGGAAAAAAAGGCTTTATCATTATCTAATTAGTTTAAATGATGCTTAAATGAAGCCAGGATAAGATAAATGCAAATAAAAGCATTTATCTGTAACGTCCAACTAGTCAATACAGCTACAGATGTCCATAAAACATGCAAGCAAAGAAACGAAAGAAAAGCTGTATCTTACCTCTGTACAGTAAGGTTAAAATTGAAAAGTATTTTCCCCTCATTCAGTTCACTTGCTGTTTCTGTCCTAAAAAGGCATATGCTTTCTATCTTCTTTTGGCACATTATGCTAGCTTTTACAGCTATTCTTCCATTTCAGTTCTTCTAGGTGATCTAGATGGGCTTAGTTTTTTCAGCTTGAACTCTTTCTTTCATAGACGGTTTAGCTATCCTTTTTGTTAGAATAAAGGATGTTTCCCTTTTGTAGATACGCCAGTATCTGCTACGCTAGGAATCATCTCCTCCACTAAAGTTGGCTACAAAGCAATTCTGCTTTGGCTCTCCCCGCTCCCTTTGATGGCACGCTCAGCCTTCCCCATGACAAATGCGTTTCACCAAACCTTACACTGTGTTTCACTCCTGTATCAAAAACGTACCTGATACAAACGTTCAAACAAGATAATTCCGTGTAGTTTACATTTTATTGGTGATCTGGAATGATAGCAGATTTGGAATAACTGATTCCCAGTGTCTTTTTTCTTATGTAGATGAAAACAACAGCACAAAGAAGTGCACCTAATTGTTTGATAATTGCTGCCAGTTTGTAAGGAGCAGATTTTGTCAGGTGAATGACTACGATTATTACTCCTTACTGGAATGCCTACTCATTCTGTGTAAAGATTTCCATAACCAACCTTCTCTAGATATATAAAGCTACATATTGCAGTCTAATGAGCATAACGTATAAATAACATATGTATGTGTGTGTTTATATGTATGTGTAACATTTATTACTATTAATTTATGTGGCTTTATTTACTGGCAATAATCCTAGCTACTGGAAAAAAGGGGCAGTAGGTTGTGACTGTGCTTCTGAGCAAAGGGTTTATAAAAGATACTGGAGCCAATGCTGTGCTTAATTCCTGCAGATACAATACTTCCAAGGAAGGAAATTCAGTTTATTTCCCTAGAGACTCAAGACAAGTTTGAAACAGACTATGTTGTACCCCAGAAACAATAAAGATGCAAAACATACATAGTTAATGTAGCGAATTAGAAACAGAAAAGTTGACAACAAGGAAAATAGTATCCCTATTCCAGCAGGGATACAAACGATGCCAGAAAAACAGAACTGTTACTTGAAAAAACATCAGTCTCTATAAAACTATAAAATAGCTGAAAAAAACTTTTTTAAATCAAGTAGATAGACTTTACACTCCTGTTAGGGAGAGCTTTGCTTTGCCATTAAAGAGAAGCAGGGGAAAAAAAAAAAAGTGCAGTTTGGCACTTCTGTTCTTACAATTTAGATTTGCAAGCAGAAAAAAACTAATAAAGTATTTGCTTTAATGTTCATAAACTTCTCATACATTTTGTTTTTATCAATCCAAAAATACCCCTTAATAGCAAGCTGGGATTACCCATTTACAATCTAAGGGGAAACATTCAGGTAATAAAATAAGAGAAAAAGTGATAGGACAAAATTACTTCCCACAGCAAATCATTATAATTTATTGAATTGTGTATCTGTTCCTGACTCTCTGATAAATCATACTGACAGACTGTGCACAAGAAAGGAAAATCAGATCACTTTTGGTTTTCATTCTTTTCACTTATTCTGAGATTATACATTATTCAAGAAAAGCATGATTATTTTACATATTTCTTAGATGTCTAGACTAGGGAACATTTGTGGCATCTAAAATTATGTTTGCTAACTGGTTTCAAGTGAAGATTTCTATGCCCAAAAAGTTTGACTAAAGCAGTTCTTTTAATCTAGTTTTGTCAAAGGAAGTTCAAAATTTCAATTTTGCTTATATTGCTGTAAATTCAAAATAAATTCATGTAAAAATAAGATTTCTGAAAAGACTTATGATTTTAAAATCTAGCTGTGGACTGGATTTAATAAATCAGCAGGCCAGCCAACTGCTGACAGCACTGTCTTTGATCTATCCTTTAAACTTTGATTATAAAAGGAAAATATATTCTTTTCATATTAACTAATATTTTAAATTAAGTGCCATTTAAAAACATACTGAACTATGGGGTTAATGACATCAGGTAATTCATTTTTTTAAGATCTTTGTATTCAGGCTGTATCAATGGTAAAAATGTGGTTGTCAAAATATGTTAGGAAGCACATTTTTAACACAATCTAGTTTCCTAGTTTTATAACGCCTTAGAAACTTCATTTTCCAGTGATTCACATGTGTGCCATGCTGCCATGGTCCATCTGATTTTTCTAAAATCCAGTCACATACTCACTTTGCAGCTTTGTAGCTTTACATTTCATCAGAAGACTTTTCTGCAAACACAGAAAAAGAACAAAACCCTCACCTTTCTAAGTGAGTTCTCTTTTGCCTTGGAGCTACCCGGTTCATTATAAGGATGATAGATTTCATAAAGCAAAGAAGTTGTAAAAACCTTTATGGAAGCATTAAAAAGATCTTGGGCTAATGCATTATTAAAGAAAAGTTCACCTAATATCTGAAGCAGAAGACAGGTCTTTAACTCCTATTCATTTCAGTGCCCAACAATGAATGAGACCAGGACTATCTGAGCTAGGCAATATGGTTAGTTATCGCTACTTATGACATAAATAGCTTGCTTAACTGAAGCTTTCGCTGGCACTTTATACAAATTGAAAAATATGCAACACATTTTGTCTCTTGAAATTAATAGTACACCTTTTTTCATTTTCTCTCCTCCATTCACTGTATTAGTTATTCTTTTAACCTTTCCAGTGTGCGGTTTTTATGTGCTTTCTCAATAGAAAGTTGACTTTGGGAGAAATTTTCTTGATACTGTACAAAATTGGACAATAGCTGCTAAGCTACACATAATATCGTGTTTCTATCAGATCACACTGTAACAGCCAGATTCAGAGAAACTCAGTTGGAAAATAAACCTGAAATAGCCTTTGTGGAATGTTTACAATGTTCCCTATATAAATGGGGGAAAAGAAAAGCACTGTAAAATCCACAGTCTGTTCACTATATGCTGGTGTTCAAGGACTTCACTTCAAATACCCCTGCACTTAGTTCCAGAGGTGAAAGCCAATCTCTCTTTATTTCACCTAGATCAAACCTTCATTCATCACTCTACTGCAATAGAGCTACACGGATTTCAATGCATTAAGAGCCTTTTGTGGTCATTGAAAAGGAGCCAGTTTTTCTCCTTTATGAAAAGAAAGGCTAGCTAATTAATTAAGATGAAAGGCAGGCATGTGTTATTTCTCCATCTAACGCAAGCCTTATAGTTCAATGATGCGTGGAGAGATTTGCATGTTGAGATTTGTAATTCTGAAACAAAAGATTAAGAAAATTCGAATGCCTAAGCAATTATTTTGGCGTACCACAAATATCTAGAAAAATGCCTGGTTTTCTGTTTTCAATATATTCCAATACCACATTTCTGAGAACTGTTGGATGCAGAGCCTAGAGGACATGCTGTTCTTACAGATCCCACTCTACAATACAGAGAAGACATTTCTATTCCCTTTTACTACACTACCTACTATTCTCTGTTATGGAAGCAATATCTCTCTTTAATACAAATAAGGCTTTATAGACTAAAACCAGGATTCTCCATCACCTGGCACCTGTGCTGTAACCATTTGAACAGTCCAGAGAATTAGGCCTGGCAGTAGAATTTCAAAAGACAATTATCCCACATGACAAGGGAGCTAATTCAAAGAACTTAAATTCAGAAACAGAATAAAACATTGATTTAGACTTAAACCGCAGCTATTTCTTAATAAACAGTATGCTTGTCTGAGGCTGGAAAGTACGAGTTGCTTAGACAGGACACTAAACAGCACACAAGAGAGAACTCGGGGAGAGAGCACATTAACTAACGCTAAATGATCACTCACTCCCTGAAGATGGCACAGGATTCATTTGCCCAATAGCGCTAGGGACTAATTTATCAATGCAATGGACTACTGACCATGTACGCTCACTCCAGCTGGACATACTGATCAGTTTTCAAGGTTCTAAATATAGAAGACAACATTTCCCCATCACCTTTTTGAGCCGGCTTATCCAATATTTTTAACTATCCCTTTTTTGAGCAGCTTTGAGTACATCTACAGTAGTGTTTTAGCTCAGATCAGGAGCATGCTTTGGAAGAGCACTGGGTCACATGGTGGAACTGTCTTGAAATGCACGAGCTGGGTTTGGCTTAGATTAAATCAAACCACCAGATGTGCTCCATAAGCAAACCAGGAGCTCTCCAGCTGCTAATGGGCATCCAGTCTACAGAACATGACCGCAGGTGTTCACTGTAACCCCTAAAATGCTTACAGTTGGGATGCTATATCCTCAGCACTAAATTTCACTTTCTGATATACTCTAATTGGGCTGCACCACTTGCTAGGGCAGATGGAAAACTTGTGTTGTACTGCTTATAGGCATTCAATGTATTTGCAGTACAAATAAAAAGGCAAAGTAACAGAGAAAAAATCTTGGCAAAATGAATTTGCCTTCATACCTATGACAAGGATAATTTTTGGTCGAGGTCTTGCAGGATCAAATACATCATATTCCTCAATTAGCTCAGCGGTTTCAGAGAGGTCGGTGTCACTTTCTATCGAAAACTGTTGGATTGGAGGGAGCCGGTCGTACCGTCGGTATGGGAAGTTAGAATTATCAGGCATCACTGTAAAATAGTAAGATAAACTGGGAATTGTGGAAATACACAGAAAACTCAAAATCTGTTGTATAAACAGATTTAAATAAGTATAATAACTAAACATAAAGTATAAATATCTCCTAATTTTACGATGTGCTTGCTGTTATTATATTAAATATTCCTTGCCTCTATTTAGCTGATTTATTAAATTGGAACCACTAGAAGTCAGTTTTCTTTGGTGTTTCTTTACAAGCACATCAGCTTTTCTGTGAAAATCTGCCCATAGCACCCAGAGTTCAGCAGTGGCCTCTGAGAAGAAAAGCCTTGTATTGTGCAGATAACCTGTACTATTAAACAGAACTCTTTTGCTGATACATGTTGTACATAGAGATAGTATTCTTGCTAATTAGTTCAATGAAATGCTGGATGGCAAGGAAGAATAACTATGGCAACTGAAAGATGAACTAATTACTCTTTGTTAACATTACAAATAAAATAATTACAGGTATTGGTATGATATTTGCTTAGATTTTACGAGACGCATCTTTTTCTAAGAGTTTGTCATTTACGTTGTATTTAGTAATTAGCATATAACTCCAATATAAACTAGAAAAACAATTAGGGAAACTGCATTGAAGTTATTACGTATGTCATCCATAAGGACCAACTGAAAATATAAGCCAAGTGCATTGAGTCAACTTTGCCCCATCTTTGCAAATGTTTTAGGTAGGATACAAGAAATCTCTCCCATAGCGTGTTAAAGAATTACACAGCAAACATCCATCATTAGGCTGCAACATGACCACAATTTCCTCCCCTGCATAGCATCCATTATGGGAGAAGAAAAACAAATGCTAAAACACAAGGAAACAGAATCTTTGAGTTCTTTGCCTAAGGAAAATCAGAATGAGGCATGATGTGCTATAGAAGTAAGTATAAAATAATTCAGTAGTAGATGTAAAACCACCCACAGTGCAGCATTTTTATACTTAATACATTACCATTCCTGAAAAAAGACCTCCTGGATTGTCCTCCATTGAGTGGAGGCAAGGTCTTCTTTTCTGGGCTGACAAAAGTGTCCCATTTCACTTTTTCTGATCCTCCAAGCTCTTTCACTTTCTGCAAACAGCTTTCCAAATATTCAATTGGGTCATCGGGTTTGTAACACATTAATCCATTCAACAGACTCTGCAACACAAGATCAGAGATGCACACTATAATGACAGATGCCAGTAAAAACCAAGCACTTTGAATTTCACATTACACAAAGAAAGCCTGTACTCCTTCTATATTCAGACTCTCCATTTCAAGCCAAGGCGTGAGAGTGAGGCCTGCAAAAGTTGTACGATTTTGGTTTGCCAGTGTCACAAAAATGATTCAGAACAGGAAGCTCGTGGCTACGTCTTTATATTTGTCTGTTTGCACTGTAATAAAAACTGAAAATAGTAAAAAAGTTGCCTACATTTTTCTTAGAACTACCACTGCCAAATATTCGCAGAGCAATGCACAAGCTAGATAGCCCCAAAAGTTACACCTTCTGGGTAACCTACTAGAGCACTAATACGTATCTTTTCTTTATAGACCAGTGCACTTGCAAGTATCTTATCCATATTCTTGAGTCAACACTTACACAAATAATGAAAAAAAGATTTTTTTAAATCATGAGAAATACTCAAATATCATCTTGATCAGTATTGGGGAAAAAAAAAAACCCCAAACCTAAAGTTCACAGGTGCTTCCAGATTTAATTGACCAGAATTTCCCAGCCACTAGAAAACCCCTGTCTGCAGTATTAATTCTGCACTCATAGTACCTATGAGCATTATGGGGAGCATGGAAGAAGGAATGCCAGGCCCTCCTCTGACGCATGGTAATTGATTTTCCTTGACAAAGTGATACATAAGTCATCATCTCACCTCTCCACAAGACAACTGCATCCAACCTTCTCTTAACAATAAATGTCTTTCAGGATGATTTCTGTTCTTTTGTGCTCTTCCTAATTTTTGTGCAAATAAACTTGAGGGTCACAGTTGATATTAGTAATAAACAGCTCCAATTCAGGATTTGCTCGGTTATTTGTTATCTACAGTTTATAGAATAGTTATTTACACACATTTTTATTTATAAAATAAGATGTAATTTATATGCGTCTATGCCCTTATTATACTACTTAACCGATCACAGCAACTAGCCATATATTTTTGCAGAAGATATACACCATTTTTTACAAATTGCTAGCTCAAGCGTTGAGCCTTCACAGAAAAACAGTTTTGACTGCATCTTTTGTTAAACCATTCACATTCCAAATGTTCTAGTAAAACATTAGCATGGTCTATGTCTTGTAATTTTCAAATACACTAAAAAATGTCCAGCTTCAGAAAAGACCGGGGGAAATACATATGTGTCTGTGTGTGTGTGTTTTATATAGATGGCAGGATGTCTGATTCAGAAAAAAAAAATAAAAAAAATCCACATTGCACAGAGAAGTAATTATCAACCATTAGCACCAGGTAACTTGTAGGAAGCTAAACAAAACCTCACTAAACAGTTGTGGGTTTTTTTTTCTCCCAGACCGATGAAAATCTGGAGAAACCCCGAAAGGTAACCCCCGCCTGGATTCCTCGGCAGAGCGGCCCGGGGGGTCCTTTGCCTTGCGGACACCCAAGTTCGGTCCCTCCGCAGGCGGCTGCAGGAGGGCAGAGGAGGGCAGAGGAGGCCGCCCGCAGCGCCGCGGAGGGGCGC